AGACGATTTTGGGTGTTAGTCTAGAGCTAGGCTAGAGGCTCTCTGTGATGGGGATTTTTGGGGGAATCAACTCCTCCCACTCAGAGGATGATGTGTAAAAGTTTAATTAGAGTTTAGTTCACTATGGAGCTATGGAGAAATCTGTCCTGATTTTAGGGTAAATTTCAGTGGGGAGATTTGCTCTGTGGAGTGATTGTGAGTGGTTAAGAGCTTCTAGCGGGTTGGACTTAGGAAGGTTTGGAGAGGCTCTGGTAAGATTTTGGCAGAGTTTCCTTAAGGTTTCTAGCATTTTTTTTCTTTAATTGTGGAGAGTCCAATTTATAATCATGGCTGCTTGGTGGAGCTCATAGCTTGCCATTAGGTGCTAAAGTTTGCTGAGGTGGAGGGAAGAAAGGCTCTAATGGCCAATGGGACTTAGCCAACTCTGGGAAGTTTAATTTTGGGTTTTGGCCACTTGGGGCTCCCTTGGGCTAGCTTTTTCCAGTAGGTGAGGTGGTGGCTGAACAGAGTCAGGTCACTTCTGGGCTCAGGGAGGCTAGGGGTGCTTAATGATGGTTAAACACTAATGGTAAGGCATGATGGCAAAGATATTTGAGTTTAGGACAAAAATAGGGTGAAATCCCGTAAATCAAGGGACCATTATTCCATTGCTCATGTAGGGTGGGCTAGGAAGTTGGAAAAACCTATAAGTAAATTCTTAAAATTATTTTATAACTTAAAATTCAAAAATAAAAGTAAAGTGCGAAGTTTAAATATTAACTACTAAAGTGAATGCTATATAAATGTAGTTGAAAGAACAAAGTTAACTAACCTAAAACTAAACTTTCAAAAGTAAAGGTACGAAAACTAAACAAAGTTTTTATTGATGGAAGATTTAAATTTAAGAAAACATCCTTTCCCTTTACAATGAGTATATAAATTGTGAAGAAATTAAAATCAATTATATATATATATATATATTATAATTGTAGTGTGCCAAATAGGAGCAATCCTATTCTTTAACTTCTTTCAAAATTATAAAAAATATTGATTAATCTAAAGTTTGGTCATAATTCCTTTGTTAGGTTGGGAGGATACCAACTCTCACTCCAGAGCTCCCAATTCTCTCTCACTTGAGGGCTAACAATCTTGCATTAGTTTTCAATCCACTAGTCCAAATTGGGAATTTTAATCAGTCAGCTTAAAATCTCCAACTCTGCATCCAATAAAGTATGTTTCCCTACGCAATCAATTCCATGGCTGACATACTCTCCCATGAAATCAAATGTGACTCTCCCCCTATTATAAAAATCATGGACCTTTATGTTTCTCAACATGTTTTAACATTTCAATTGGCCAGATCAAAAGGTAAATGAAGATCGAAGTTCAAATCATCATAAATTATTTACATTTAAAACCATAGAAAACAAAATCAATTCTTCACAAAATCATATCTCAAAATAGGGAGAAGGATAAAGAAAAATACTCATAATTCATGAAAAGGATAAGACAAAACATGAATTTCATATATAGAAACAAATTTACAAAACAAAAGAAATAAAAGTCACAACTTATCTCACAATCCTTCCAAAGAAAATCCCTAGAAGTTATCTCCAAGCCTTTTTCTCTTTACAATCAATCCCAATTCTCTCTTGGAAGTGTAATGAATAATAAATCTCTCACCTTCCCTCTCCTCTTACCACCCTAGAAGAAAATCTCCTCTGCCTTTCGCGCCACCACCTTCTTGCCATTTCGTCCCCTCCCCACTCTCTCCCAACTCTTTGAAGTCTTCTTCTTTTATTAGAGGCTACCTCCTTTCAAAAGGAATTCAAAATTCCCGCCAAAATTTCCTCCAGAAGTCAACTCTTTTGAATTCAAAAGATATGTCATTTGATCTAAGAGACATATATCTTCATAAAAAAACCTTCTAAAGTGTTTAAATGCATTGAATCACTCCAAGGTGTGTGTAGATTAAGTGTTCCTTTGAAAATTCACACAAAATTCATCTCAAACCGCCTTAATCCTCAAAAATTTGTCTCTGGCGCATCATGCGCTAGCTCTCTGTCATACGGCGCATCATGCGCTAATCTGGCGCATCATTCGCCAAATATCCAAAATTCATTTTTTGGGCTCCAAATTTCATCCTTTTTGTCATTTTTGCTCCAAATGCCTACAAGTGATATACCTGCAATAAAAACATGAAAATACCATTCTTTAAAGTGCAATATCACCAAAAAAAGCATAAAGTATGTACTTAAAATAATATATTATTTTAGTGTATCATCAACTCGACGAATCCAAGTTTTACTGTTGCTTTACTTGCTCATTTCTCCTCTCCTTTGGATTCACCTCGGTATTGCTAGGAATCATCCCTTGAAGATGAAAGCTAAGTGTAGAAGTTATATATACCAACTAATTTTCTATGCTCTTAATAGCAGTCCCCTGGTTATGCAGCCAATTTCCCATCTGATAAACAACCTATTCTAAAGATAATTTCTTCTACTTGAACTGTAGGTTAGGATTAAATCCTGGCGGATAAGATGTTCTATCATTAGAATTTTTTTTATTATTCGAATTTTTTGTAGGATTAATTTCATTATTTTCTGTTGATTGGTTTTCGCCTCTAGAATTATTATTTCAATTGAAATTAGGATGATTCCTTCAACGTGGGTTGTAATAATTGGAATAAAGATTATTTTGTCAACTTTTTATTGCATGGATAGTTCATAGGGATTAAGGCCAACTAATTGACCAAATATATTTTCCTTAATAACTGGTGGTCATTGAGGTTGACTCATCCCATAATGATCCAATTTTCTTGTAATCCCTGCTACTTAAGAAGTTAAGATTGTAAGTACATAATTTTCATGAATACTCACTACTTTCTTAGGATTGACTCTATCAGATGGCCAGTGAAATTTTTTTGTGGTCATCTCCTCAGTGAGAGAATAAGCCTCTTTAAATGGTTTTAATATTAGTGAGCCTCCAACAATAACATCAATGATTGCTCTCGAAGATCCAACTAATTTGTTATAAAAAGTTTGAATAATAAGCCAATCAATTAATGTGTGATGTGGACACTTTCTAAGATGTTTGTTAAATAATTACCAAGCTTTATAAATTAATTACTCATCATGCTGACAGAATGAAGTGATATCATTCCGCAACTTAGCGATTTTAGAAGATGGAAAATACTTAGCTAGAAAGTTTTTGGCTAAATCTCCCTATGTCCTAATTGAACCCCATGCTGATGAATTGAGCCACAAATTAGTTTTATCCCTCAGGAAAAATGTAAAAAGTATAAGTGTAATTTCATCATCAGAAACACCATCATATCTAAATGTAGCACATATTTCTAAGAAACTTGCTAAGTGTAAGTTAGGGCCTTCAGATGGAGATCCACCAAATTGATTATTTTGTACCATCTGAATTATTGCATAAGTTCAAAAGCATTGTCCGCTATGGCAAGATTCTGCATATTTAAATGAATTTCATCCACTTTAGGGTTTGCATAATCCCTCAAAGGTCTATTAGCATTATGAACATTGACTGGATCCTTAATAACTAGATGATCTGCCATTTCTACAAAAAAAATTTGGGGTATTCTCTGTTTTCTAATCCTCCTAACAGTTTTATCTACTCTGAATCATAGGGTTCAAGGTCTGCAGTTCATGAACTATGGATTCAATTCTAAAGGTTTAATAAATATGATAGGTATCAAAAAATATTTTTGGTATTTTTCGGATTTAGTTTCTTTTTTTTTAATTCACACAGTAACTAAAATTACTAAGTGCTACTTCTATTTCTGAATCTAAGTCTTACAATTTTAACTAAAGATATCCTTAAGTTTCTCTTACCGACTCTTTCTTTCTTCACTCTTCCCGACAAAGTTACCAGAAAAGCTTGATGACCCCAGCAGCTACCAACACTTTAATGATAATTTAATTTAACTCAAACTCTTGATCTAAGTGTGAGGGTACCTACGTAAATGCATGTATCACTTTCGTAATATTGAGCTCTAAGTGAGTTCGGAATGTCTATCCCACAAGGAAGGTAGAAAAGTTTTCAGAAGCTTTTGTAGTAATAACAACCTTAAGGTCAATTCTAGCATACTACTTTAAGGTCCTAGTTTGGAAAATCACTAAAGGTAGTTTTTTGTAATAATTAATCCAAAGTTAGGTTTCTACTCCTAAATTAAACTTGCCTATAACAATTAAACAGGTGAAATTCAAGATTGATAAAGATACTTTTCTCTTGAGATATCATAGGTAGATTGTTTGTGTTAATTCTAAGAATTATAATATCGTCGTGACAACAGAAGCATTCCTCTTTTTTACCCTCTGTCGAGTGTATAAAGAAGTTTGGTTAACATAATATTAAATCCTAAAACCCTAGATTACATTAGTTACATTTCTTGTTTGTCGCTCTAAAGTCTCCAATTTATGCCCTCAATTTGGCTAATCTAGCTTTATTTCATTAAACCCCATATCAAATTGGTTAGAATTCTATCCTGTCACCCTAGAATCCCTAATGTACACCCATCAAATCCTATTTCCCTAAGTTGTATTGCCCTAATGACTCATCTTTCGTAGCCACTCGCATAATGAGAGTATTATATGTTGTTTATCCATCGCACTAACGAGTCTTAATGGGTCACAACAAATTTTAACAGGTTATATGTCCACTACAACAACTAAATTAAGTATAAAAATATACTCATCACATGAAATTAAAGATCAATTCAAAGCATTCGCAACCCTACTAATCTAACCTATCCATCACAAGAGAAATGTATAAGAAATCTACTCACTACAAATGTTAAACACCAAAAAAAACTTTATTCAGTCCAAGCAAATTAACCAAATAGGTATATACAACAACAATCAGATAATATTACACACAATAAGAATACCATATATGTGCTTGAGCGCCATGTTCTTTGTCTGCATCAAAAAGCTTAGGCGCCAAGTACCTGGCGCCATGATGTTCTTGCAACACCTTGGCGCCCAAAAGTGGGCTTCTATGCGCTAGGCCATAATCAACGCTTTTGCTCCATTTGGTTCAATTTCCCTCCAAATCAGTCCAAATTCATTCCATTTTTTCTACCTGCTATACCTGCATCATAAACAGAAAAATACCTTACATTAAAGTGCAGTTTCATTAAAAAAAATGTGTAAAATAAAAAAGAAATTAAGTATATCCAAGGACATATCATGCAATGAGTCACCACTATCATCAAACCACCATTGTGTTGGATCGTTATCATCGGGATTACCAACATTGGGCCACCATTGTGCTTAACCAATGTCATTTGGCCATTGCCATGATGCACCACCACTATCGGGCCACCATCACGCTAAACCACTATTGTCAGGATGCAGCTATACTAAAGCACTATCGTCATGTTGCCATACTTCTAAACCATTATCAATGGGTTGACACAGTTGTTAAGACAATAACACTTGACAACTACCATTATTGGAACACAATCACCCAACTATTGTCATTCTTGAACATCATCAGTGTAGTCCAGCCTCCACTATTTTTCTGTTTTCAGGTCCACAGTTGTTCGATAATCATCATTCTAGGACTTCAAGTCTTGATCATCTCTAAACCCTATCTGCCCCTATCTGCCTGATGAAGGTAGTCAACTCATTTTCAAAGGGAAGACAGTTGCCTTATCATAAGACTATGAGCCTTAATCACCTCCAAACCCAATTTTTTTGATATAGTCATTCAAAACCTTTTTCAAGTTAAGATAGTTACCTCTTCATAAGAATACAAGTTTGGATCACCGCCAACACAGTCTATCAAATGAGGTAAATCAACACCTTTTTTAAGGTAGCATATTTTCCTTGACGCAGCACTATATGCCTCGATCGCCTGCAACCCAGTCTATCTGATGAGGCATGTTGACACTTTTTTGAGGTAAGACAATTGCCTCATCTTAAAACTATGAGCTTTGATCGCTTCTAAATAGGATAGTTCATTGAGGTTGTTCAACATTTTTTTTAAGGGAAGGCAATTGCCTCATTGGAGGACTAGAGAACTTGATCTCCTCCAAACTACATCTATTTTGATAAGATTGATAAACACCTTTTTTATGATAAAAAAGTTATCTCATTGTAGAATTAATGGCCTGGATGCCTCCAACCCGTTATGTTTAATGAGCCTGGTTAACACGTTTTTCAATTAAAGACAGTTGCCTCGACATAGGTCTACTTACCTTGATCGCCTCAAACTCGGTATATATAATGACGTCGATCATCACATTTTTCAAGGGAAGATAGTTGCATCATCATGGAGTATGAGCCTTAATCACCTCCAAGATATGCTTGACGAGATTAGACAACACCTTTTTCAAGGAAAATTCTTGCCTCAGCGTAGGATCATGGGTATTCACCTCCTTTAAGTTCAATCCACCCAACAAAAATAGGAAACCCTTTTAATTTACAAGGGAAAGCTAAAGCTTCATCATTTCGAATACAAGCTAGAGGGAGGAAAGGTATGCCTTCCAATACTCCTCAAGGTGGCGTATGTAAAGGTCCAAGCAAGTAAAAAAATATGGGTGAAATTTTGAAGGAAAAGATTCAAACTTTTTAACGAATCTCATTTTAATTAGCTTCGTATATAATTTTTATTTTAAAAATAGTGCAAAAGGGGAAAACTTCTAAAAAAATAGGAAACCCCCAAAATCACCGATTACCTCACAAGATGCGGGCGTGCACACGCTCATCACTGTCATTCCGGCACGAGGCGGCACATCCACTAGATTGCAGGCACAAGCATGTGCTCCACTGGCACTCAAGCATGTGCGTGTGTGAAACATTGGCATGCAGGCACCTGCTGCATCATTGGCTTGTAAGTGGGCACAAGGACGTCGCTAGCAAGTCTAGACGAACACCATCCCGCTAGCGATGTTAGCCCGCCTAACCCATTTTTAGCATATTTTTGATTAATTTAACACTTTTTAAAATTTTAGAGCTAGATTGACCCATATAAATAAATATTTAGAGAACTATTTTGATACTTTACCCTTCCTATGGCTGAGTTGGAAACTGTGGCATTGTCTCCAACAAAGCAACACCACATCTATAGATAGCTTTACTTGGAAACCATTCAAATTTTATCCGGTTGGGTTATGCCACGTCTACGATGGCATCACAGCGACCACGTGCCACAATTGCGTCCTTCCATGTTTGTCTATGAACATTCACAGAGAAGACATTACTGGGGCTGTTTATTGGTTTTCCTCTTCACACATAATTTCTTCAGTTTCAAGGCAGCAGCAAGGTAGTGGAACGGTAAGCATGGGCATGAGGGCCCTTCCTCTCTCCTCTTCCAATAACTGCTTTCCCCCGTTGATAGGTTTGTCCTCCAAAACCATAGCCATTAGATGCAACAGAGCTACCATTAGAGCTGGAGGGATCTGGGCTACGGCTGAGCAGAAGGGGGAGGAAGGCGAGCTGAAAATAAGCAAGCCTTCTCTGTTTAGCAGCATCACAGAGGCTCTAGATTTCTCCCAGGCCAGATCCTCTCAAGATGCCCAGCTTATTGAAGATGCGAAGGAGGCCACCAAATCTGGAGGCAAGATGAACCGAGAGCAGGTATTAAGGATTGGTTGATGTTTCATTATTGCTTTGATTGGTTGTTTTATGTTGCAACTCTACTAAGAACTAGGAGTGTATCTCTGTTTAGTATGGCGCCCTTCGGAGGAAGATTGGCGGCACGTACAAGGATTTCTTCAAATCTTATGTTGATGGTGAGCTTGTTTGTTATGATTATGTTTTTTAAGCTTGGGGGACACGGGCCATCTTACAAGAGGCTCATCTTCGTTGTGAAAAAGTAGATTGAGAGGAATCCTGAGCAATGAAGTTGTTGGGAAAAGATAAATTGTGGAGCAAATATTCAGCAGAAAGTTTTATTTCTTTTTCATCACTCTAAATTTAAATTTACATTTATCCTAAATTCTTCTAAGCGAGTTGACTAAACAGACAATTAATCTAATTCATGGATAAACAAATCTTATAAAAGCTTGGAACAAACTTACCTATTTACTGCAAACTCGTTAAACTGCTTGTTGAAACTCACAGTTGAAGGCCAATATGTGGAAGAAGGCTGGGTGGACAAGACATGCAAGATTTGCAAGACAGATACCAGAGGAGAGCCAAGGCAAGTTGACAGGTTCGGAAAATATGTTCATGTGGCATGCTTGGGGAAATCCAAATCCAACAACTTTTTCTTCAAGCTCTTCTCAAGATGAGGCTTTCATGTTATTCATTGCACCGCTCCTTTACAAAACATATGATTTTGTTGCTTTAGGATACATATTACATTTGTTGTTTAAGACGGGCTATTACTCTACTTTTGATAGCTTCAAAAAGTCATTTAAATTTTATTGTATTTCAATCAGGTGATACTACATAGATGTCCTATTCCTTCATTTTCATCTAAGGAGTATTACTGCTTATATTGTCTTGATCCATACAAACTGAGGTGAAAAAATAAATAAATAAAATCTAGGAAAATTTACATACTAAACACACAATTCTAATGTATTTACATATTTGATACGAAGAGTTTGATATGCACATTGGTAACACTTTAATTTCATAGTCACATCAAAATCTATGCAAAAAAAAGTGTCATTCGCTTAAAAAGAAGTTAGTAATAAAGATATTTTTGATATGATGTCAAAGATTTAAGCGTTATGTATGTAAACATCAAACTCTAGGTGTTATACTTTAATTATATAAAAAAGCTAAGAGTACTAATCAAAATGCTGATATTACAAATTTTCTGTAGTTCTCATGTTTTCTTTCACATGGGAAAGGTCTACAAGAACTACTTCCACATCCTAAATCACTATATATATATATATTATATATATATATATTCTAACCGATATAAATAGCTTTTCTTAAGAGCCTATCCTGCATGGATAAACCTTGCAACGGTTGATATGGCTGCCAATACTAAACCCTGGCATAACTGTAAACCCAACATCTAATCTCAGCTCTTCAGTTGGCATTACCTGATGACTTATGTTGACCACACTTTCCATATACCTTTTAGAAAACTTTGTCCCTCTCTCGCAAAAGAAGATCTCAGCTTTTGGAATGAAGGAATGTGCAATAATCTGTAGAGCCCAAACCCTTCTCGCCATTTTCACAAACCCTTCATAAAACGGCGTTCTTGGATGCCAACCACTTAGCACGAAAGATCTCTGATCCAAATTCTCAAAGAATGAGGCCTCCAACTTCAAAGGAACTGCCTCTAAATACCTGGATCGACAAAACCTCCCGAATCCAGAATCTGGTTCTTGCATCAGAGCTTCAAAGGGGTCTGCAAAGCGCATAATCTTTTCGAAGTTATACGGATTGAAGCATTCATCAAGCGTGCAGGTGAGCATTTTCTGGGAGAGAAAAGCCTCGAACGCAAATTTCTTGTGAGATCTTTCCGCATAGGAGATTGAGTTGAAGATAGCATTAGCGGCTAGATCGAGATCCCATCCAGATGCCTTCATTAAGTGAATCAGCAGCTTTGTGAAATCATGAATTGATTTAGATGCCAACATGAAGACTTTGGAAAACAATTGAGGCGTCCAATCCTGGTTGGTTCGAAACAGTTCCACATCAGGCAAATGTGTCTTGCTGATCAAATTTTCCAGCTCTTCATTTCTTTGAATCACCAACTTAATCTTTGACCTCAGCTTTTGTATATCAGAATCCTTGGCCATCGATGCACATTTCTGTAACTGTTCAAGCTTCTTTTGTTCCTCAAGCTCCGCATGGAGAGATGGCAAAGCTGCTGTCCTGTTTCCGTGAAATTCTGTATAAGAACTCTCCAGTTCGGAAATCGAGTGTAGTTCAGATTCTACAAGCTGATATGCAGCTCGGATTTTTTGGGACTCGTAGGGGATGTGAGCTTGCTGAAGCTGAACATAAGCAGATTTGAGAGCAGAGACGGAATCAAAAAGCTTTGAAAGAATGACTTCTTCGGAATCTTCTGGACCTGCAAAGTGGACATATTTCAAAGGATGGGGATGGATTTTACGATCTCGGCTATCATCAAAGCAACCAACGCCTCCATCTTCAGAGCTCTCATTTTCGGGATCCTGAATTAGTTTAGGGTTTTCTCCAGAGGAGAAAAATCCAGCGGATCTCGGCTTACGCAGCCTTGAGAAATGATCGAAGATACTGGAGTTGTTCCTTGAAGCTTGAAAAGTGAACTCCATGTTTCGAGATTAAAAATACGTATATTACAGCATAAAAGATGAGAATATTTTGAAACTCTGTGTTCATGAATTTCAATGACCTTATGGTTCATTCCATGCCAGAGAAAGCGAGATCTAGGTTTCGAGCTTGGCGCATGTCGAAGAATGGAAGCGGAAGATTCAGCATTTCGGACTAGGAAATGTTTAGGCGGCCATCCGTTCTGAAGAACCAACGGAAGTCGCACCATTTAAAGTCCATATCCTCATAAGAAAATTTTATTATTTTGGCTTTCAAAAATTATAATACACTTGAATTTATAAAATTTGAAAATAAAACAACCACCTCCAAAACGTGGCTAAAATAAAAATTATTAAAACCTAGAAATTTAATTATTTTTCACTATATTAATGCAAGAAAGAGAAATTGGAGACACATATGTAATGTTTATTTATGTTGAATCTAAAATTGTCTGTAAATCATACTCATAAATAGAGCATAAATATGGAGCGAGAGGTGAACAATAGTTAGTAGTGATGTTTCTTCATGAAATGGATTCTCCCTATTTATAGAGGAGGTAGTACAATAGTGATATTATATTTTTACTCCCATTTGAAGAGGATCTGTATTGGAGTTTTTTTGGTATTATGCGGAGGTCCTTTGGCACAGTAGGTTAAGCTTAGATGACTTGAATCAACAACGTTAGCTTGGTTAGCTTAGACTAGTCAGTAAGGTTTGGTGGGTTGATCCAGCCTTATTAACTATCTTCAATCCCTAGTGAGGAGTCTTCGGGTCTCTGTACGATGGTTGAAGTTGCTTTGCGGGACTAGCTCTTCTATTGGGTTGGCTTTTCGACAACTGATTGCTCAGGCTCTCACCTCGTTTCTTGTCGGATTGCTTACACTTATATCACCCATTCATCTTATTATCCTCCCTTTGGCTCGGTCGATTTTTGTCTAGTTCTCTTGGCTCGGATGGCTTGGCTCGTTCAATCAGTTGGCATATACAATTGAACTCCTTAACAACCAACAAGCTTTATGTTCCAATTCTACTTGTTGCTTACAAGCTTCATCAACTATGAGCCTATATGGAGACATTCTAATGGATATTTTTTATGTAGTTCTGTAGGCCCATAATGCATCATTTAATTTCAAAAACCAATCTTTCCTATTAGGTTTGATAGTTTTTGTCGAGATCATCTTAATCTAATAATTAGAAACTTTCGCTAAACCACTAGTTTGGGGATGATATGTTGTGGCGATCCGATGTTTAATTCCATATTCAGTAAATAATGCCTTGTTGACCTCTTTTTTGGTAATGTCAAAATTCTTCTCTTAGAGTTTGGGATCTAGCCATAGGGATTTTTTAATGACTATCTTAGGAGACTAGTGAGGATACCCACCCCACCTAGAAATTCAAGACATTTCTTAACTCTTTTTAAAGCCTCATATGGGTGGTTCCAAGTCCTCAACTCTTAGTTGAGATGACTAGGGCTAATATGTGGAGACTCAAATACGAGTTCTCATAGGATCACAAGGCCTTAGGGAAACCCTTTGTGACTTGCGCATTCATATACACCACATACACTATAATATACACACTACAATTCACATAGATATTAAATACATCACCACAATTTGAAGCAAATTATGAACTCTCTTATGAAGGCTCACATGGGTGATCTTAGACCCTCACCATTTGGTTGCGTGCTTGGTGACCAACTTGTTGAAACTTAAAGCATGGGTTCCTATAGTACCACCAAACCCTAAAGGTGCCTTATACCCCATCCACTCATCATAACCCTAATTTACCCACATCCATCTAAAATTAACTCAAACTACCCAAAATTATACCAAAACCCTCAAAATACCACAAAATCACCAAAATGGCCAGAATACCCCTAAATTCCAAAAATTAACCAAAATTGCCAAAATTTTGAAAATTTTCTCAAAATTGTTCCAATTTTCTCAAAATTACCCTAAAATTGTCAAATAATTCAAAATGCCCAAAATTGCTCAATTTACCCCAAATTCTTTCCAGCTCCACTAAATTTCAAATTCAAACCTAATCTCACCAAATTTCAAGCCCAAAGTCAACCACCAAATTCTCCAAACTCCACTAAATTTATCAAATTCCCCAAAATTTCCCGAAATTGAGCATTCATATTAAACCTAAAAGTCACCATGTCTTAAGTCCTAAATTTCATTGCAATGAGTAATGACTTCATAAAATTCTTCACAATTAATTTCTAAAGAAAGCCATGATCAATTTCAAAGGCCCAAATCCAAGCCCAAATTCAATTTCTCTTAACTCATCCTAAAAGGCCCACCTACCTAAGCCCAACTTTTAATCTCTTTCAAAATCTATAGCACACATGACATGAAATTCTCTCTCCATCCATTTGATTAAAATCAAATGCTAAATTCTAAAATTAATGATTGAAATTAATGGCTTCATGACAACTCATAAATTTCCTATTTCTTTCTAAATTCCCTCTCCATGAAAATACCCAAGCCATATGCAAGCCATGAGCTCTCCTCCAAGCCACAATTGAGCCATGAAAAGTCCACCATGCCTTAAATGGAAAAAGTGGATGTTCTTTAATGATTCCCTCAAAGTGCTTAACCAGTCTAATGTTTCACTTAAACCTAAAGTTAATCTAAATTCAAATGATGGGGACTTAGCCAAACCAATTCAGGTGATCACCATCAACCTTAGCCACCATGGGAAGTGAGCCAAATCAATTGCCATGAACCTAGCCTAAGTCAAACCCAAACCAAGCCTAAACCCCTTTCCACTTTGATTAAACACCCTTACTGATGCTTGGACACAATTTTCTTCACAAATTTCCACCCTTGGCCTCCCACAGTGAGATGATGACCTCCCATGGTCTGACTGGCCAACCTAGCCACCTGAAAACCTAAGGTCGAGAGGCACCACCATGGTCAAACTCAAAATTTCACCTATCCAATGTGGCTAGCTTCAATTGAACACTAGCCCCTGTCTTTCCTGCACATAAGCGCCACCTTAGAGCCCCTTGATTTGGCTAATTGATCACCATGGTCGGGCCTATAAATAGACCACCCCTCTGTCAAAATCACTCCACACTCTTCCTAAACTCACACGAAGCAGCTCATCCCCATCATTCCTAAGTCCTAAGTCTTTAAACCAACCACAAAAATTTAATTTCTCTATTGAAATCAAGAGAATCTTGGTCATTTCATCAACTCCCTTAAAACTATAAATTGATCATTCCAAAAGCTTCCCCAAACCTCAAAACTACTTCCCTAATTAAAATACCCATTTCCCAAAGCCTCTAACATAGCTTAAGACAAAGCCTAATCCACCATTTGGACGAATTCATACTTAGACTCAACCACAGAGCAAACAACACTTGGAGCTTCATGGGACCAAGGCAAATCTTCTCAACCCATCCAATTGAGGTCTCGTCTCTTGGAGAAAGGTATATCTCAAAAGCTCCTATTTTGGCCTTTGTTTGGTCTTTTATGAAGAGAATAAACAATCCATGTATACCTAGCTATGTAGATATGTTCACCTCACTTAGATGAAGGTGTAGGAACTAACCTCATGCAATTTGGTTAAGTATTGAGAGAGATCTTAGCATTTGTATTTTCTCATTATTTCACCAATTATCCACTAAAATAATTATATAAAATAAAATAAATACAAAATCAAGTTTGGTGTACTCGCTAAAGTCAGAGGCACTTGAAAAAAATAAAATTGAAGTTAAAATAAAAATTATATTTTTTAAAGTATTTTTCCAATTAAAAAAAACTAAAAATAATCACAAAAATATTAATATATTTCAAAATGTCACAAAATATTTCCTGGTTAAAGAGAGCAACTTTGAAGTCCTTTCATAAATTTTGAAAAACATAAAAATGTATTTTGACTTTTTAAATATATTTTCCTATAATTTTTGTTTATAATAATTTGAAAAAATAAAATAAAAATAAAAAAAAATATAAAATCAAGTTCTTTGAGTTAAATGAAATTAGGGAGATTAAAGAAAAATAAAAAAGATCATTTTTAAAATAAAAATATATTTTATATTTATTTATTAATAAAATCAAATAAAAAATTCATTAAACTTTAAATGAAATTCAAAAAAACATGAAAATTGGTTTAAGCGGCCTCTTACTTTTAGCAACAACATAAAATTTTCCTAAGGACAAAGAACATACACTGGATAATTAAATTAATTTACTTTTGAAATTCATAATTAAGGATTAAAATAATTATAAAAAAATAAAAAATCATAAAAAATAATTTCTCATCTAATATCTTAATTAGTCTATGAGTAAAAGGCCAGCAAAGTTTCATGGTCATTGGTATCAAAATGAAAGAGTTATGAAGTACAAAACTCTAAGGGTATAGTTGTAATTTAGGAATTTTACACCTCAAACCTAATTTAATCAAAATTTTCAGGATAAACCTGAGGGAAGGGTATCAAATTAAAACGATTAGCTTAATGAGGTGATTGAAACACAAATGGAAAATGGGGTATTAATCAATTCACAACACTTTAATTGAATTTTTATGTATAGGAAGAAATGAGAACTTGGATGATCCAAGCGTGAGGAGTATGAATTAGGAGGTCAATAAATTACTGATTTGAACCCCCCAATTAATGGTTAAACATAATTTAATCTTTGATTTAAGATCAAATGCCTTTTTACCAAACTTTTTTAAAATTAAAAATCTACCCTTAGACCTTAAGGAGCTCAGAGGTGAATTAGGATTAATCCAATATTATCCGGGGAACAGTTGAAGAGAAAATATAGGTGATAATGAAGCATCTTAGAACACTGCAAGCTCAAATCCAATTGAAGGACAAGAGTTTAAAATTCCCTAATAGTCAAACATGCCTTTAGAGGTGCTTACTTATATAACTCTTAGCATGACATTAAGTGAATAATCATTTGTCCTACTCTTGGACTAATTAAGATATCAGGATTACACTGAGCATATTTGTAGCCTAAAAGACTCTTAATATAATTGGAATGATTCATGTAACGTCATGGTAATACCTAATGAATTTTAAATAGTCCATGGGGTTTTAAACTTGTTCAGGGTCATTGATCCTCAATAACTGCTTATATACAACAGTATAACAATGACTTTAATTATAATTTTCACTTAAATTTCCTTACTTTGCAGCAGAACCAAAAAATTGATTCTGAAGAAAATAAGAATTTAACTCTTTAAAATATA